TCTTGGAGCCACGGGTTCATTCACTCAAGCCTCTGAGTTCGGGTTGTTTGCTTGTTTTCCTCCTTGAGACTACCAGCATCCTGAGAAATACAGTCCTGTATCTGCACCGAGAGACAGGGTTTGTTAAAATAACAGCCCCAGACTGAAGTGTGGGGGGGCTGGCTGAACTGAAAATGTAGGAGGGAATTTGGCGAGCACCTTGCTAAGTGGAAGTGGTTTTTAAGCTTTGCTGTGCTTGGGAATTACCTGGAGATTTGTTAGAACACAGGCTGCTGTGCTCCACCTTCCAAAGGAGGGAGGAGGGGCTCGGAATTTGCATTTCTAGTGAGTTCCCAGGTGTTGCTCCTGCTGGGGTCTGGGCACCCCCTTTGAGAAAAGCTGTTACATGATATTGCTGCTGCTGGTTGAACTATGGTCTGTCATACTGTTGGTGCTAAGGCCTCTGCAAAATGCTAAGGGTGCAACATTAAAGAATTTGATAGATAAGGTTCTGAATATTGGCATATAATAACTACTTCTTGCATCCATCAATAAGGTGGAGGCTACTTTGAAATGGGCTCATCTGAAATTGGGAAAGGAAAAAAAATCATCTGGAGTCCAGAAGGGCTGTAAATGCAGAAAATTTTACTCCACGCTGAAGGTAGTGTGAGCAGAGGCAGGGAGGTGGGAGACTTGAACAGGAGAAAAACCTGATGTCCAGCTGTGGCTGTAACTGCCCCTCCCCATTTATGCACCTTCACAAGGAGCTAATTTGTCTTGCTTAAACTGGACAATCAGCTCCTTGTGAAGGTGCATAAATGTTTGTGCTGAGCATCAACTATTGATCATTTCTGCACGTTGCCCCACCTGCACTGGGGCCAAGATGGAAGCAGAGGTCTCTCACCAGAGGGCCAGGAGGTGGGGGTGTAGGGGTGACGGTGGTGTTGAGGCCCGTGCCAGGAAGCTCACATACCCAACCCCAGTTAAAATGCAAGATATATGACTGGACGAGCTCTCTGCTTCTGGTTGCGTAGCCCATAGAATAGATCAGAAGCAAAGAGAGCAGAAGCCTGCTACTATTAGAAGAGCGTTGCATTGCTAAAGAAACCACAAGACCAACCAAAAATGGTAACTTTTGGAAAAAGGGCTCTTTCGCAGCACATCATGTGCCCATGGAGGACATTCCCCAGGGAGGTCAACCAGAAGGCTGACCAAGATCTCAGGCACATTTCAGACTCTGAAAGCCCTATACATGGGTTAACAGTGCAATCCCCACTCTCCCCCTTTCCTCACAGGGGTCTTTGTTCTATTACTCTGCTCACAACACTTGCATTTAGGGAATGTTAAGCTGGTTAAGCTGCTCGTTTGGCTGTGGGTTGCTGGACCTTGAGAAAAAGTTCAGTGCAGATGAGCAGGCTTTGTTTGCCCCATGATTGCTGGAAGCCAACAAGGAAGAAATGGGGACACCTTCCCCGCTTCTTTGGAGACAAAGGCTCTTCCTTCCATTTTCCTGATGGTGCCTTCACACTTGTCATAGTCGTGGTTGGTAATGGTGTTAGGGGAATGGGGCCCTCATAATGGAAGGAGATGGTAAAATGTTGCCTGGGAGGAGCATGTGTGTTTGTGATATGAAAGCCTTGGGCCAAGGGGCTTCTTCGTTGCATAAAAGACATTATGGCACCCAGACTGTTATGACTGAACATGGCCAAGCTCCATGTTCTCTGGGTCAGCTCAGAATCCCAACCAGAAGATGGTTCCAATGGATAGAATATCACCCATGAAAGGGTAGGGTGAGATGAGACCAGAGAGGTAAGTGATACATGCTCACCAAAAAATAAATCAAACTAAAAAGAAAATGCAGAAAATAAAAAGGAAAAGTACCCATTCCTAAAAAAACATATTAATCCACTTCCTCTAAGAAATCAGTTAGCTATTTGATATGTATCTTTCCAAATATTTGCTTTTGCAAATATATATATATGGCTTTAAAAATAGAAACAAAAATAATAGTACTTTATATATACAGTCCTGTAACATACATGTGGAGTATGTATGCATATACTAGATGTAAACAGATACGCCTTGTGTACATAATATCATGGACACTTTCCATGGGTATAAGTTTGTGTTATTTTTTTACTGACTGCATAATATTGCATTGGTGGGCGTCTCAGTCGTCTACTGCTTTAATCCTTCACTGATGGTTGTTTCCATTTATTTGCTGTTTACAAACCATGCTGCAAAGAAACAGCCTCGTGCCTATATAGTCCTGTCCTTGGGTGGTGCTGCTACGAAATAGGGTCCTAGAGATGGAATCTGGGCCAATGGTATCCAGGTCAAATAGTACGTGCCTTTTAATGTTTGCTTAATAGGAGTGTTTCATTGTACTTTAAAGAGCTTGACCACTACATTTCTAAACTAATATGGGTATAAAAATTAGATTATTTTAACCAAAATGAAACAAGCATGACTCATAAAAATTAACACATATTTGGGTGTCCCACAAGTCTTTTGAATTTCTCCTTCTTTGGCAAAAAAAGACCCTAGCTCAGTGTACATTTCTTATAGTTACAGCAATAACTCAAGCAATCCATTTGTTAAATAACTCAGCTTTCTCAGTAACCCTATTAACAGAACCCTGCTCCATGTGTAGGCTGGTTGTGCTTCCCTCTTACATCAGCCATTCACTTTGTGGGGCATGGATTCAGGGAAAATAAAGTACGATATACGTGTTACCACTGACAGATACGCACTGCATTTGGAAGAATGGTGAACCCTGTTTGACTGTTTCAGTGATTCCAGCTGTTAACATGCATGTGGAAAACCTGTGAAGCTTGGTAGAAATATCACTTTTCAGGTCCACATCTAAAAATTCTGATACAAGTGGTTTAAATATTCATTGCTTGTGATTTGAATATAGGTGGGTTGGATTTGGGGAAATAACTTGGCTACTGGTTAAGAACATCATCTGTAGTTATATCAGTCTAGTTTGGGAACTCAATTGTACCATTTGCTGTGCGGTCTTGGCCAAGCTGCTTAACCTCTCTGAGCCCCAGCCCCAGTTTACTCTTCGGTCAATAAGCTATACTGTCTCATTGTGAAGATCAAATAGATACTGCCTTAAAAGCACTCAGTCTAGAGTAAGTCTCAAATACGTTAGTAATTGTTATCAAGGAAGCTTGATTTATCATAAATATGTATGATGGGTACCCCTCTTAATGGTATCCATTTGAGTAGTGAATTCTCCTAGCGTGTGTACAGTATGATTTGATTTATAAAACATTCATAATTTTGATGTTCTGGAAACATGGCTTCAGTGTAAAGCAGTGTCTCTGTGGCAGCCCCTCCATTTCTCCCAGATTTCCCCCATCTCCCTCAGATTCCCTCCATCTCCCCCAGATTTCCTCCATCTCCCCCAGATTTCCTCCATCTCCCCCAGATTCCCTCCATCTCCCCCAGATTCCCCCATCTCTCCAGATTTCCCCATCTCCCCCAGATTCCCCCATCTCTCCAGATTTCCCCATCTCCCCTAGATTCCCCCATCTCCCCCAGATTTCTTTCACCTCCCCAGATTCCCTCCATCTCTCTTCTTCCTGTTCTTTGTCTGTTACTCCTTTTAACCAGTGGTTCTGATTTGTCAAGTAAACAAAACCAAACTCAATGCCAGTTTACATTTTAAAAGAGCATTTTTATTATTTTTCCGGGCTGAACACAGCACTGAACAGAAACCAATTAATACATATTTGTCAGTTTGATGGCTTTGGCAGCACCGCCTCTGCCCAGAAAAAACTGGTGACAGTCACTCAATTGTCACCAATCACAGTGCAAGTGAAGGGGGAGGAGAGGGTGGTGAAGGTGTCCTGAGGTCTCTTGGAGCAAATAATCTTGAACACAGTGTGGCATTCAAAATAAGTTACAAAATTTAAATAGCATAAATAAGTGGAAATTTAAGGGAGGAAGAGTCCCAGAGTGTGGGTGTTGGCAATGACCAGCCCACAGGAGAGGTAGCTGTGCGAGTTACAGGGGTATTTCCAAGATTCAGGCCCCTGCTCCCCGTTGGTCCACCCAGGTCACTGGGTTCCTCAAAGCTTCCAGGCCCCTCAAGCATTCAGCTCCAGGTCGGTGATGTACTCCTGGACCCAGGCCTCGCTGGGGTCGGCACAGACCTGCCGGCCTCTTTTGGTTTGGAAGCTGTGGAGAGGGGTGGAGGGTTACGCACTGAGGAGTCCGGCAGGGGAGCCCTGGGCCTGCTCGCGTTCTCGGGGAGCCCCTCCGAGGGTCCTTCTTCCCCTCTCTATCTCCCCAGGGCAGGCAGGAAGGATGGCACTTACATGACACCAGGCTTGGAGCACTGGCTGCTGGTCTCAAAATAGTCGTCTACGAATTTGCGTGGAATCTGCCGGGATATATAGGAGAAGCAGCAGGCGGTCGGGGTGTCAGCACCAACTGTAGAGGAAGGGACAGAGTGAGCCTGAGTCACAGCTCAGAAGGAAAAGAGAGATCTGAGATCTCATTCCTGAGAGGGGAGGAAAACAGCCTTGCTCAGGGAGTGGGCTGGGAGACAAGGTCACTGGAAGGCATTGGCATTTCTGCCTAGAAAAATCCCTCTGTCCTTGGCTCTGTCTGTGCCCTTCTTTCTCTTTGAGTCTTCACTGTGGGTGCCGTCTTTCTCTTTGTGATCCCAACATCCAGGAGACTGTTTTCTAATCTCCCTTCAAGAAGACATACCCAAGCAAAAGAGAAACCTCAGACATATCCCCTAAGACATTCAAGGGACAGAGCTAGAGCTCTTGGGGGGACCTAGAATGAGTTAATTGAAGAATGACACCACTGGGAGGCAGCCAGACTTGGATTCTGCCTCTGGTAAGCTCATTTGCTTAGGTCCCTACTTTGCCATCTTTAAAATGGGACTGCTACTCCCCTACCCCACCCTGGCTCTCAGATATGGGGACTAGGCTAGCCAACACCCCTTTGTAAGATAAGAACACAAGTCTCGCAGAAGAAAGCGAAGATGCTTTATAACCCTTTAAGAAGTTCTCTATTTTCTCTCGGGCTCTCAAGACCACAAGAAAAGACGGCTGTGGTCTGACCGTGGCCAGAGAGCAGGGACACCCGTAGCAACAGCTCAGACTCACATGGTGCAGAGAAGACCTGGCTGCAGAGGGCCATGGTGCAGAGAAGGACGGCGAGGGCAGCCCCGGGGACCTTCATGATGCTGAGCAGGTGGAGTGCGGGTTCGAGCGTCAGGAGAGCAGAGACGGGAGCGGCCACTCGCTGCTGGCTGTGTCCTTCTGCCGTGTGATGCCATCTCCCTGCTCTTTATAGGCAGCCCGGCGAATGGGGAAATGGAATCCGGGGGTGAGGTGGGAAATTTTTAAGCATAGGGTGTTGTCAGCCTGAGTGTTGCACAACTCAGGGTCCCCGGCCACCACAGGGGCTCAGGATATCCAAGAATAGCTTCTCTGAGCTATAAGTCTGAGCCCACAACGCATGACTTGTTCTGGTTTCGTATGAGGAAACGGTTTCCCCCAGAGCAGGAGGAGAGAGGAGTGTGTCTCCACTCGGGCTATTCTTAGCGGGCCCTTTCCGTAGAAACTCTGCGTGACCCGGGGCCTGTCCTTCCCGCAGAGGTGAAACCTCCGAGCTTCCTCAGCTGCTCTAAGCGCTCCGAGGGGCAGATGTGATGATGTGGTGGAGGGTGGCACAGCCTCGCTTGAATGCAAGAAACTGAAGTTCGGAGTCCCCGCTAGAGGACCAGGAAGCACGGGGTCGCGGTTCCGTTCCCCGTCCATTCATCTGACAGTCATTGAATGACTAGGGCCACTGGGTTACCCGCCAGCCGAGGAGCACCAAGAAACATTAGGTGTGGGCGTGAATATGTCAGGCGGCTAAAAATATTTATACCTGTTAACTTACAGAACACATTTCTAGGAAAGTCCTAAAGAAACTAACCCAAATATGGAAGCATCTTCAACATGAAGATATACCCGATGCAGCATCATTTGTAGCTGTAAAGTAAGGACACCCAAATTTTCCCCTGTCAGGAATGATAAAGTAAGTTATGATATGTCCACTGGCTTATTTCTTATTAAGCCCTTAAACGGAATGAAGTGTCATAGAATAAATGTGACATCAGTTGTAAGATGAGTCCTAGCTTGTTTGGCTCAGTGGAAATACATGCCCCAATGCAGCAATAGTACTTACAAATGTGTGTGAGAGATCTATGGATGAATAATTTTTTTGTTTTTCTCTTTTTCTGGAGTTTTCTCTCTCTCTCTCTCTTTTTTTTTTTTTTTTTTGATATGAGAATGTATTGTCTTCCTAGTCAGCTCACAAATTTACAGTCACATTTTGTTTTAAAACATTTACAATAAGCCTGGTTGGAAAGTAGGTTGTTGTCTATTGTTTAACTTTAATTTGAAAGAAATTTTTGAGAAATATACCAAAGTTTCTGTCCAATGGCCTTTGCTGAAATGGAGCCCTGATTTCCATATCTCTGAACTATTTTAAGGAATCTGTACAATATTTACATGAAGAATGCCAGATCTAAAGCAGTTTTCTTTTCATAATTTCAGTGGTGTGAAAGGGCCTACCTACTCAGTCAGGTCTGTGGGTTTCTTTCCCTCTCCATTCTTTATTATTTTACTGTTACGTAAGTAATAAGCATAAATCACATTGTATAGTGAGAAACAGATTAAGTTCTGTTTAATGGTCTTTGTCCTCTAGATGCCCCTGGTCTAGTAGGAGCAGGTAGAACATATATAAACAGGTAACCACAGCACTTAGCAGAAAGTGCTGAGATTCCTGGGCGGGAAACAGATGAAAGCTCAGAATGCCAGGAGGAGAGGCAATGCCTCCCTTGGGAGGGCTGAGGAAGCCTTCATGGAAGAGCTGGAGCTCCGGGTGGGTCTCGAAAGCCACACAGGGTTTGAACGCACGTGGATGGGGTGGCCCTGGCGGCCCGGCCCAGGGGGAGGCGCGGGTGTGAACTGCTGGCTCGGAAGGAGGACAGGGCAGCTGGTGTCGCTGCAGAGCGACAGAGCAAACGTGGATGATGAAGCTGAATTGGGACCAGACCAGAAGGCTTACGATTCCCCGCCGAGGGGCTGCAACAGTGGAGGAAACCAGACGTGAGCCAAGTGAGACCACACCTTAGGCATTCTGTCCCTCCTGTGTCTGTAGACTTCCTTCTCTGAAAATACATGGGCCGTGTTTCTGATCCCTATGACTGCAAATGCTGGTCTTGAGGGTGGGCGGCGAAGCAAAGGCAAGGTCAGGGGCAGTGGCCCGTTCATTGAGGCTTCAGCGCCCAGGTGTCTTCCCTTGTTACTGTCAGTTCCGAAAATGGAGCCTATCACGTGTTTCAGTGGAAACTCCAGATCACAGACTATGCCTCCCCCTCACTCCCCCCCCTCTGCTAGTCCTCGCTTGAGATCCTGAATTGCATTCCCTCGTTTTCTTGATGGGGGGAACCCCCTTCATGCTCATGATTTGGTTTCTGAGACCTGCCTTCTTGAGCCGGGCAGGGTGAGAAGGAAATGGAAACTGCTGAATCAGCCACTTTCTGATAATGAACTTTGTTATCTGCCTCCGTGATTATAACACTTAGCACATTGTTCTAATGCATTATTTATGTCATTTTCTCTTCAAAAAAAATTTAGACCATGTCCTGTTGACTTTAAACCAAATTCATCCCATGTCTTGTTAGTGGATTTAAACCAAATCCTAGCACATGATGATTATAACATGATGAATTTTCTGACATAGTTTCTATTTCTTATCATTTTGTTCTTTTGAACAAAGGTGATTTATTGAATTAAAAATTCTATCTTAGTAATTATATAGAGAATTTTAAAATTCTTATTGATTTTCCTTATGAATCCTAAAACCAGGAAATAGCCCTTTGTCTTATGTGTTTTTACTCAAATTGGAAAATAACATATGCAAAGTATGTGTTTACTCTACATATGTTGAATGAATGCTGTGAGGGAGCCTTAGGATGTTTGAATTGGTTGTGAAGAGTCTTAGAAATTTCCTAAGTGGTAAATTGATGTTCCCAGTTGAAATGATTTGCCCAGGACCACGCAGGTAGAACTGGTCTGTTTCATATTTCATTGTGGCCATTATTTAACAATACACCTCCGATGATAACCATAATGCCTGACACATAGTGAGACTTAATAAATATTTGGCGAATGAATAAACATATTGCTGATTTAATTAACAGCATGTGCTATGTCCAAGTCCCACTATGAAGCTGAAATACTAACAGGAAGGAAAGGATCAGAAAGGTCATGGAGTCAAAGTCTTGATCTTTGGGGATCAACCAAGGTCTCTTAGGCGGTGGTGGCAGAAAGTAGCCAGCAGTCACATGGTAGATCCATTACCATGGAGGGGCTTGATTGGTGTCCTAGCTTTCTGGCTCATTCCAGCCCCTTTGAGGCCCCACCTCGATCCAGCAGAGTGCCCCAGCCATGAGTACAGGGAATTCTGGCTGAACAATTCATGCCCTGCAACATCACTGCTTTGTCCTGCTCTGCTCGGCTCCTCATTGTTTCCCAAGCCCTGGCCCTGCTGAATTGGTTTCCTTTCTGTTTCTGGCCCTGCAGTTCCACTTCCCCAGTTTCCAATCTCAGCTCTCTCCCTTCGACACCAGTGGCTCCATGGATGGGTTCACTGATAAAAATGCCCCAGTTTGTTCCAGCTTCGGCCTCCTTTATTCAAGTGTGGCCCAGTCAGGTTGCAGCAGGTGTGGCTCCACTTTTCCTGTAGGTAGAAACCATGTCCTGGGCCGCCTTTTCTAGCATCCTAGAGGGACAATGTCTCCATGTAACCCTGTCTCACTGCCTTTCTGTCTTCAATTCTTGTCATGCTCCTCTGGCCACTTTTTTGTATGTGTCCAGTAGACCAAGGCATACATTGGGCATTGGATTAGACCCTTTCCCCTGTCCCTCTGCTCCTCTGTCTGTATTCTCTACCCAGTAAAAGGCAGCCCCTTCTACCCAGCTTCCAAGCCAGAAACCTGGGAGTCACCCTTGGCTCATCCCTGCCCTTCACCTCCTGCACCTGCAGTAGTAACCCCCTTATGCACAATTTCACTTTCCTTGGTTTCAGTTCCCCGTGGTCAATCATGGTCCAAAATATTAAATGGAAAATTCAGTTAGAAACAAGTCATAAGTTTTAAATTGTGCGCTTCCCTACTCTGTCCCACTGAGGATGTGACTCATCATTTCTTGGTCTAACGTACCCAGTCACACTAGACCACTTAGTCACTTAGTAGCCATCTCAGTTATCAGAGTGATTGCTGGTATCACAGTGCTTGTGTTCAGGTAACACTTATTTTACTTAATGATGGCTCTAAAGTGCAAGAATAGTGCTGGCAATTGGGATATGCCAAAGAGAAGCCGTTAAGTGCTTCCTTTAAGTGAATGTATGCATGGAGTACAGTAAAAAATACATGTAGTATATGTAGAGCTCAGTACTATCTGAAGTTTTAGGCATCTGCTGGGGGTCTTGGAATGTATCTCTTACAGATAAGGGAGGACTACTGTATTCAGTCACCAACTCTTGTACTTTGAAATTAAGTGTATCTGCTTCTCACCATCCCACGGCCACTGTCTTAGGTCAGGCCCTCATCGTTTCTCTCCATGACAGCTGTAAGAGTGTCCTATCCACTGGTTTTTCTTCCAGTTTGCCCCTCTCAGAGCTGTCCCATCATCACACAGCATCCAAAGTGATTTTGCTAAAGGGCAAATCAGCCTCTCATCTCTCTCTGTTGAAAACCCTTCAAATACTCTGCATCATTTCAAAACAGCATGAAACGGAGGCTTCACCTCTGTGACTTGACCTCTGCTTCCCTCTTTGGCCACCTCTCTTGCCACCTTCAAACTTCCTGGAAACTAAGACTCAGTCCTCTGAATTCTTTGTAATTCCCTAAAAGTGCAGGCCTCTTTTCTGCTTTTTATGAATGAGGTGTCATTGACAAGGCACAATTTCCCCTTCTTGTGAATCACAGGGCAGAGTGAAATACTATCAGCATGGGTATCTTTATTTAATTCCCTCAGCTTTCTAAGGGAAAGAGAGAAACCTATGGATTCCACTGTTTAAAGACATGCAAGATATAAAACTGAAGGACATTTTACATAACTACAGAGCTTTGGCTCTTAAGCTTTTAACATAAATTTGTAATAAGCACATTTCCCTTTTCTGAT